CTTCCGCCCGGCTGCGGTGACTCTGCCGCCCGGATTGCTCAGCAGCCTCCAGGCCAAGGCAGTCATTCAAATATTCTGACTTCAGATGGTCACATTTTTTGGCCCAGTGCTGTAATATAAGTGGATCAGAATGCAAACTAAATTCGTGAAGCCTCTTCCATCGTCATTCAGTTTTTTGCTGCCTCTTATATGGCATACAGCCGCGCAAATGCATGTGTGTGTGTGTGTGTGTGTGTGTGTGTGTACAGTACACAATTTTATGTGTGTTGATATGTATCAAAGAGAGGTAGCCTTTTGCAAAATCCCTGATTATATGTACTATTGACAAATTGTTCCCATGGACTTAATAGACATAATATCTCTCAGGTCAAATTAAATGTAATGTGTCCTTTTAGCATTTTTAGGGGTGAGAGGCAGTTAAATGAGACTCAATTAATATTTACAGATTATCTCTTTTAGCTTAACACAGTCCTAGTATTTTTACTTACTTTATTGCATTTAATTCTCATGAAAGTTTATTATATAGTGCTTATTTTTTCTAGACCACGATTAAAGTCAGTTTCCAGAAGTTATATAATTTCCCAGAAGGCAAACAGCTAACATAAAATTGCAATTTCAGCAAGGTTTTCTTTTTTAAATTTTATTATTTATTGATTTAAGAGAGAGAGAAAGAGGTAAAGAGAAACATCGATTTGTTGTTCCACTTATTTATGCTTTCGTTGGTTGATGCTTGTATGAACCCGAAACCTTGGCGTATGAGGATGATGCTCTAACCAACTGAGCTACCTGGGCAGGGCTCCACAGGGTTTTCTTTCATTCCTGAACCTATGCCTTTTCAGATACAAGTTGCTTGACGTGATGATTGACCTAGCATAGACCTAGAGGTGTAAGAGCATCATTGTTTCCCTAATAGTGGGGTGTTCTTTAAAATATGAGATGACTAGCCTTGTTTATTCCAGAGATTTGCAGACATTAGGAAGCCTATTTGATATGGTCCCCTGTGCCCTCCACCATTCCCATCCACTGGTATTAAAATGTAAAATACCAATCTAGTTGTTTCTCTGGTTGGCTTAAAGTTATTTCACTTCTTTGACCTTCACTTGTTGAATAAATTTACATCAGTGGTAGAATAGTTGTCTTTCTCAACCCAGGGCATTTGTATAGAATTCAGAGGTCGCAAACACAACAGCAGTCTTAACAAAACAAAGCACTAGGATATGAATTAATTCAGCCCAAGGCTGCACATTTTGCAGCACTTAGTGAAAATTAAATGTTGATGGATACCTTGAGCTCCTTAGGAGTACGTATAACACTAAAATGTCATCAGAATTCAGTTAAATACTTAATGTTCCCTTTGTCTAATTATTCCCCCTGAGAACAACACTAATCATTTTCAAAGACAGTGGAGCAATGCAGTCACTCATACTAGTCTTCAGACATACCCCTTTAAACATAAAGGAAGAGGTAAGGGAAACTATGCTTCCAGATCTCTTTCAAGGTCATGGATGGTTATTCTTGTTTTGTAAATGAGAAAATTGTGTCACCAGGTAAACTTAATGTGCTAGTAAAGATTTCAAATAAACTCAATCACATACCTCAAAAGTCTAGCACTTCAAAACTAATACCAGAGATTATCAGGGTTTTTTGTTGGGGGGTGGAAAATGAGAGAAACCGTCAACCTTTTGCATGGAAGCCCCACTGGGGTTTCCCAAAGCCCACTCCTCAGTGGGAGGCCCGTGGAGAGTGGGCGGCGCCGATTTGGCCTTGTGACTGGCCCACCAGGCTTGTGTCTTCTCTCCTCTTTGTTTGCCCTCCTGAAGGCGTGATCTGGGCAGGGAGAGGCTTCCCTTCCAGGACCAAGGGATAGAGGAGGGCCTCTGGGCCAAAAGTTTTTCATGTGGCTCTTCCCTTTCCTAGAACTCCCCAACTCACCCATGATGTCCTGGTGGCCTCCCTGTACATGTGCTAAGCAGCATTTGCTTCAGACAAAAACCCAGCCTCTGTGGTCCACTCTTCCATCTTTCCATTGCTTTGGCTGTTTCTCCCTCTTCAGCAGTGCAGTGTGAATAGACTGGATTAGGAGTTAACGCCGGTCTGTGTGTTGCTAGGACAAAAAGGCAGGCTTTGTTTGGGGAATGCCATTTGTTTTTCAGCTTTCTCCTGGAAACGTAAGAGTCTTTCCTTTTTAAGCAGATCCCCCCCCCCCCA